ACCGCCGCCACCGCCGCCGCCGCCGCCCCAGTTTCTAGAACGGATCCCTCTGCCGTCGATGCTGCCGGTGGCCGCGGCAACTGTCGGGGAGGGCGGGTCCAAAAACCCGGCCATGACGCCGAGCTCCGCGAGCTGGGACCTTAGCGCCACGATGTCGGCCATGTCCGGAGGCATATCGGCTCCCCCCCTGGCGGTGGCGTTGCCGCCGCTGGCATGGGGCCCCGGAGTCAGCTGCCTCGGCAGCGAGTAATGGTGGTGGTGAGGGTGGTGGTGGTGAGGGTGGTGGTGGTGGTGGTGGTGCGGGAGCGAGCCCGGCAGCGGCGACATCGTCGACGGCGGGAGCGGGAGCTGCTGCCGCCTCCGGCTCCTCCCCGGCGCCGCGCCGTAACCGCCGCCGCCGCCGCCTCCCCCCCTGCCTCCTCCTCCTCCTCCTCCTCGTCCGCCGCCGCTGCCGAGACCGCCGACGGAAGCCGATGCGGTGGGGCGGGGCAGGCGTGTCGCGAAGCCCCTCAGGGGGGTCGGGGCGAAGGAGGACGACGTCGTATCGTCATTGTCACCGCCGCCGCCGCCGCCGCCGCCGTGGCCGCTGTCTTGGCCGATGCCGCCGTCGCCGCCGCCGCCGCCGTCTTGAGGGTCCGGGTGGCGCGGGGGGTAGGAGCAGGCGTACCCGCACAGGATCAGGGACAGCACGCTGTGTTATGCGGGGGGAGGGGGGGGGGGGGGGTGTACTCATAGTCGTGCATGCCGTAGTCGTTTGACCATTGACCTCGCATCCCTACAAAGCCGGGACGGAGCACGCCGGGTTCTCACCGGACCAGGCTCTCACATCACCAAGCGCGAAGCGCCGTGAGGTATTTGGCGAGTCGCATGAAGGGTGAGCTGCATCCTGCTAAGGGTGTTCGGCATCTTGGCTTACTTCCTTGCGTACGGATGACAGCTACGTATGACTTAGTTTATTTTCTGGTGCTTTCACTTCCATTGACAGTTGTAAGCACTGTGTAACTGCCTCGAGGAAGCTTGACCATTTTAACACAACGTGGTGCGATCATCCCCCGTTGCGCGGAGTGAGGGTTCTCGACCCCGCACAACATGATCTACTCGACCACCATTTTGGTTACCGCCAAAAAAAAAAACCGAGGTAAAAAAAAAAACGGTAACCTGGTTGCCGAGTTCACGAAGTGAATTGGCTTCTTTTACAACGTCGTTGCCAAGCGACGAAAACCCAATCCCGATGGCAAACACCGAGTGGGGGGCTTGTTTTACAACGTCGTTGCCAAGCGACGAAAACCCAACCCCGATGGCAAACACCAGGGGGGGCGGCTTGTTTTACAACGTCGTTGCCAAGCGACGAAAACCCAAACCCCGATGGCAAACAAGGCCGGGGGGGGGAGGGGGGGGGGGAGCGAAAATGTTGGAAGCGGTGGGCGTTGAGCGGATATGCGAGAGAGCGAGAGCGAGAGAGAGCGAGAGAGAGCGAGAGAGAGCGAGTGGGTGTAGGTAACACACACACCCCAAAAAGTATGATGGTCGCGTTGACGTACCATTTACCGGCCCTGCTCTTGTACGCGCTTGGTTTCGGCATGAACGAGCAGCAAACACTGTTGCCCTCTCGCATATGAAACGACGCCCCCCCCAAAAAAAAAACAAACAAAAAAATAAATAAATAAACACAACTCAACACGCTCGCTTGATCGTCGTCCGGGGTAGGGCTTGGTTTGGAGGGCTTCGGCCGTTTGACTGAACTGGTCTCAACTCACCAGCACCAGACGATGAGAGGGGTGAACACCTCAGCGGCTGTGAGGGTGTCGCGCTCCCCCTCCACGTACACCGCCAGCGCGATCTCGAAGGCCACCACGGGCGCCAGCACCGGCGTCAGCAGGCACCAGGACGCCGCCAGGGTGTGGACCTAGATATGCGTAAAAGATTGATGGATATGGATGGGGTGCTTCTCGTTAGGTGCATGTCGGGGAGGTGTGGCGGCGCAAACAGGGTCGAAACAGCTACAATCATGCAGCCTTCCCTAAACTCTCGCGCCTTGTCGAAAGAACTCCGACGAGTCCCTTCGAACGGGGTGCTGCTGTCTCCAACGGTCAACCTCCCTTTGATGTTACGCTCACGCCTACTGCTGTTGTGCTCACCAGCATAGCCTCCACCGGCTCTCCGCGCTGCATCCTTCGCACCGCCACGGCGATGGCCATGGCCACGGGGGCGAGGATGAGGACGAGGTCGACCGCCCACAGCGGGGACATGATGACGTTCATCGAAACGTTGTCTCCCTGAAGCCTGCCAGGGTTTGGTTGGGTTCGGGTTCGGCGCAGGTGAGATTGCACGTGTCTGTTTTCATTGGTATAATAGTGCAAAAAGCTTGCTCATTGTTGGGAAAGCTCCTTTTCATTCTTATATCTTGCGTGTGGCAACCAAAAACGTGCAGAGACATCGCGGTCCGCTTGGTCACAGGCGGGTACTGGCGGTACATACTGCTGTAAATAGTCGTGCGAGGCTGTCTGCGCGTTGGCCCGGCGAGTACCAAGCATTCCAAACGAAAGAGACCGCTGGCACCGCAACCCAAAACACATACCCGCGCAAGCACGCCTCGATGTCACACATGATTCCCCCTCATCTCTAGGGGGGAGGGGAACGCGCGTTCGCGTTGGACTAACATAATAGGAACGCGTTTTCGCATTATTCTTCGTTCCGCTACATAGACCCACTACCGTCTGGTGCTCGGTCCTATGGTTGTTTGTAGCGAGGTCGATGTCCGGTAACAGACAAGGAACAGACACATTTTTTCCTGTGTGTTGCTGCCGTTTTCCGCCGTTAATCCGGAGAGCAGCTCAGCCTCCCGCCGGACGTCACCTCAAGTCCGGGGCCTCAGATCATGGTAGCCTTTACAAGTAGAAGATTTTTTGTTTTCTTCTATTTTCAACCGCACTGAAACTGGCGTATTCCCACTGGTCAACCGGTTACAACAGTAGCGCGGTCCATGCCAATAAATTAAAAAACAAACACACACCCGCGCACCCGCGCACACGCACACGCACCTTGAGCACACAAGCACCAAGCAGAGAACCGCCGGTATCCAGCCGAGCAGCATCCCCAGGAGGTACACTCCGCCGTCCCCCCACGACGCCCACTGGAGGCACGGAGACAGGCACAGGATGAGGAAGCAGAAGAAGAGCGGGGTGAACACCGCAAACCAGTTGGCGTGGGTGATCCTGACAGAGGAGCGAGGGGGGGCGGGGGCGGGTGGGGGGGGGGGGGGCCAAATACAAGGAAAAAAGCACAAGATTCCAAAACACCCTTAACACGATGCAGCGGAGGGGCT